GATCACCAAAGTGGTCGCAGCCATAAGCCCCAGGATCCTCTGGATGCGTTCTGCAGACATCACTTTGGATCTGAATAACCGACGTATTTCCAGACAAATAGCTTCCGCCCTCTGACAGGGAAGGAAAGCTCAAGTGGCTATGGAATCTATGATAGCCCCTATGAACTGTACCCGCGTCGCGGGCTGGAGCATTGATTTTTGCAGATTCACAAGAATACCGAGAGATGCAAGGGTCGACAAGGTAAGGGCGATTTGACGAAGGAGACACTCCTTGGACTATGCCACTAGCAACCAGTCGTCTATGTACGGAAATATCTGAATTCCTTGAAGACGTAGGTGTGCTACGACGACTACCATTACCTTTGTAAAAACCCTTGGGGCAGTAGAGAGCCCAAAAGGGAGAGCTTTGAACTGGTAATGATCGTCTCCCATCGTGAGCCTGAGGAATTGTCTGTGACGAGGGTCTGTTGAGACATGAAAATACGCGTCCTTCAAATCCAGGGTGACCATCCAGGTACCTGGGGACAGCAGAGGCAGAATGCTTTGCAGAGTGGTCATTCGAAAATTTTTGTAGGTAATGAACTGATTGAGTAATCTGAGATCCATAATTGGACGGAGGCCTCCGTCCTTCTTGGGAACAGTGAAATATCGGGAGTAAAACCCCCAACAATGTTCCGTGATTGGTACTCGCTCTATGGCGTTCTTTGATGTAGAACGGTGGACCTCCTGCTGTAGAACGGTTGACGCTGAAGTTTTGACAAAATGGGAAAAGGGAGGTATTTGGAAAAACTCTATTAGATATCCGTGTTGTATGATCGAGTGGACCCACGTGTCCGTGGAGATGTTCAACCAGGCGGGGAGGAACGGGGCCAGATGTATGGAAGGGCTGACATTGAAGTCAAAGTCCCTGTTTGGAATTCTTGGGAAGTTTCGACTTGTAGGAACCAGAGGATTGCCCTTTAGCCTTATGGCTGAAAGGCCGAGATTGCGACATAGGTGGTCTTTGCCACTGTTCAGTAGGCGACTTACTAGACGACTGTCTATTCGACCAAGATTGCCTAACCCACTGTTTGGGTTTGTTATATTTGGCAGAGGGAGAAATCCCCAGGCTTTTGGACATTTTAATGCTTTCGTCCATTTCTTGCAATACCGAGTCGGTAGTGGAACTGAACAGTCCAGACCCTTCAAAGGGAAGATCTTCCACTGATGACCTAGTGTCATACAACAACGAAGAAGAGCGTAACCAGGTGTGTCTGTGCAACGCAACAGAAGTAGCTAGGGTCTTGCCCGCAGATTCCAGCGTATGTTCAGCAGCACTAATTTGATGCCTGGCCATGACCACTCCTTCATTTTGAATTTTCTTTACTTGAGGTTGACATTCTTTAGGAATATGAGGAAGGAAATCCGATAGGCGTTTCCATAATATCGGCCCATGCATGCTGCATAATTAGACATCTTAATGCCCATTGCAGCGGCTGTGTAGAATTTTCTACCGACAGAGTCCAGCTTCTTTCCATCCTTGTCGGATGGAGCAGAGTGACTCGATTTCCCTTTAGTAGACGAGGAGATGACTAGGGAATTGGGTTTTGGATGGGTATACAAAAACTCAGCTCCGGATTCCTGGATCTTATACATGTGGTCTAAACGTTTGTTAGACACACTAACCAAAGAAGGATGATTCCAAAAGTCTTTAACGGTCTGTAAGAGGACTTTTGTCAAAGGCAAGGCCACCAAAGGTGAGGTGCCTGAATGCATGATGTCGAAGACATTGTCATCTACAAAGCTCGAGACAAGTGTAGGTGTCATGGACAAATCCATTGCCATACGTTGGATGCAATCACCGTCGGATTTAACATCCTCTGATGGTGATATAGGAAGATCTGCTTCAACATCAGGAGGGGGGGAAGGCATATCTGGATCATCTCCCTGATTGGATGAAACTTCTGAGCCACACGAGGCATTGGAATGTTCAGGGGACGGTACTGGCAAATCGGGCCGTAACGGAACTGACGTCGGTATCGACGGATTCGATGGGGGCACAGCCGGGCAAGGTTGTGGCATCGATATTGGTTGTTTCGGTACTGACGATCGATCTCGATACTGAGATAACCGAGACGACATTGACTGACGATCCCATTCTACTGGAGGAGGGGGTGGAAGGACCCAAGGATATGGGTATTGGTTTCCATACAGATAATGCCACTGTCTTTCATCCCAGGACATTAAGGGTGAAGACGGTCGGTGTCGATCTTCGACACCGTGAGCCGGTGAGGCATTAGGAGACTGATGACTGGATATATCAGATCCCGACATGGGTATATGTTGGGTAAAATCCATGTCGAAGTCAGAAACGACAAGATGGTTGTGCTCCGGTGATGAAGCTCGACCTTGACTGGCCGAAACCTTATGGACTTTTGGATGAGCGTCCTTATTAGGTTTTATTGGCTTTTTAGTCTCTTTGCCCTGCTTCCGGATCTTGGAAGGTACGGCATCAGATATCCCCTGCTTCCGGATCTTGAAAGATACGGGGGGTTGTCGCTGGTCGACATAGACCTTTTCGGTGCTAAAGCATCTATTGCGACCGTCGACGTTCCCGAAGCGGGAATGAGAGTGTCCGGAGCCGAAGTTGACACTGAAGCGTGTCCGGACGTGTCTAGCGGTGAAGATGACTGAGGAGAGAGTGCTTTCTCCATCAGGGCCAACTGCAAACGTGCCGCTCTATTTTTCCTGGTTTGGTTGGAAAATTTTCGGCAATGTCTGCACGTAGACACACAGTGGGACTCCCCTAGGCAGATGAGACAGAGAGAATGTCCGTCGGTGGGGGATATCTTAAGACCACAGGTCTTGCACCGCTTAAAGCAACCCCACCGCGAGGCCATAGGCCAGCGGAGGGAAATCCAACAAGAAATCCGAAGGAAAAATACTAACTAGTGAAAAATAAAGGAAAAAACAGACTAACTACACGATTTTTTGAAAGTGAAACTGATACTTAGCAGACCGAGGCAAAAGGCGTCCTACCAACGCGGCGGTCAGAAAAGAATTGGTGGGATCTGCGTGCCCCCCCTTGGTCATGCGCAGTGAGCCGGCGCGTGACCTGGGAGAGGCGCGAAAATCCTTTGCTAGCTCGAGACAAGTGTAGGTGTCATGGATACCGAGCAGGGTCAGCACAGGCGCAGTCTATCCCAAGGGTATGATGCACAGAGACCACGAAGAAGATCCTTATATTTCTGTATTATGGATCCTTTTTACTCTTTATTTTAGGTTGTTCCATTATCCTGACTCTGTAGTTTTGTAGCTTAGAAACTAAAAAAAATCAAAAGACAAACAAAATAAAAGAAGCTAATTTGATGAGTACACAAGAGAGGATCTTTTCAGTGGCAGCCCCACAATTATGGAACATGCTCCCCAAGGAAGTGCACCTGGCCCCCTCAATCTTAAAGAGGTAGCTAAAGAAGGGGGTTTTTTCAGGACAGGATGGTACTAAATAAGTTCAGTTTTTCTGCCTGTCAGCAGTCTTAGATTGTGATTTTAATTCATGGCCTTTTATGTGTTTTATGTACTTTTATATTTTATGTTCTATTTATACTGGAAGCCACCTTGAGTTCCGTAAGGTAGAAAGGCAGCTAATAAATGTTAAAAATAAACTGAATAAAGACTATCATCTGGAATGCAGAATGGCACATACACTTCAAGGCTTTTTAGAGAGTGTGGGTCACAATAAATGAACTTCTCCAGTTGTGCTTGCACAAAATTGTGGAGTATATGGAGGCACAGCTGCAGACTTTGTTGCCAATCTTTGCGCAGCTTCAGATAGAACTGATACAGTTTAAGTCCATTCAGTCTTTGGGCAAGTTCCAGTACTGATCCTAAAAAGATGGTGATACCCCTGATGGATATCTGCAAGCCCGTATGAATGACTCTGGATCTGTTTATTTATATGGCAGAGAGATCCAAAAACTGCCAGCAAGGAAGGGCTGCTCACTTTCTTCCTGGAACTTTACACAAGAAAACTTCCCACAAACCTTCCACCACCCAAGCCCTGTAAGGATTATACACAATCACTGGATGAATGTATGTTGTCATCTGGCATGTTATGCCAGCCATAAACCTGATCCGTCTAATGGAAGGAGGAAAAAGATTTTCACTGGCAGTATCAGTTTTCCCCCTGCTTAATGTGGTTCTCAGCCTGGGCAGCAGCACCTGGATCCATCAGTGTGCCAGCAATTTCAGGACAGGCAGTACAAACCTAAACATGGTTACACCCTTCTAAGGACCAAACAGACACAGCAGTTTCCCAACGATCAGAACTCAGATCTAGCAACAAGTCATGCACGCCACGGTAATCCTGGTTTTTTTGGGGGTTTGCCCTGGTAGAATATTGTCCTGGTGTGGTGTCATCTCCTAACGACAATGCATCATCATTAGAAGCACATTACATCATTGTGCTGAGTGTCTTATCTGCTTCCAGAAACTGTGCTGGTTTTGATGTATGAAATTCTCAATAGATGGGTTTAATACACCCAAGAGACCCTGACTCATAACTAGGGGTGTGCAAAAAATAAATAAAAAAATTCGGCCCATTCCGATTCAGTCGAATGGGGCAGAATCAATTTCGCCTGGCAGTAAAACTCCCCACTTTAAGTTTCTTATGATTCAGTCGAATGGGGCAGAATCAATTTCGGCTGGCAGTAAGACTCCCACATGTCAGTTTCATCAGTACCAGCGGATTGGGGAGTCTTTCTGCCAGCCGAATGTCAATTTCAGCCCCATTATATCCTATGGGCCATTGAAGTCAATGGCAAAAACATTGGGTATATTCTGGGGGCTGGAGGGGAGGGGGCTTGTGGGAGAGGCTCCAAACGTGCAGAGTAGCTGCTGGAGCCTCTCCCCAAGATACCAACCAAGTTTCAAGAGCATTGCACCAGGGGGTCCAATTCTACGGGCCCTCAAATAGGTTGCCCCATCCCCTCCATTGTTCTCTATGGTGGGGAAAAAAGTTACTTATAATGGGGCTGGACTGCCGCCGAAATTTGGCGGCAATTCAGCGGCCTGCAGCAGCTCGAAAGGGATCCGAATGGGCCATTTTCGGGGATGCATTCGGTTCGGACGAACCGAATGCACATCCCTACTCATAACCCACAATCTACAAGGGATGAATCATGTTTGCCAGACCAACCTGCAGAGTAATTTGAAAAAGCATCCTTAGTAACTGCTCCCTATGAGAAGACCCTTCTTTCTGGTTCTTCTCACACACACACACACACACTATAGTTTTAGAAGCACTGGAAAAACTCATTTGTGCTGGCTTTTAGCAACTAGGTTAAGTCAGTATGAATGGGCAGGGATGTATGTTTGATTTATTTACTGCATTAAGCTGGTTTAAACAGTGCATGCATGCTTTTAACTTATTGCTACATTGCTCTTAGACACTGAATAGACTAGAAATTTGAAACAATACACAATAATCTGCATTTCAAAAACAGAAAATGAGAATCTGTGGTCAAATATTTATACACTAGAGCCTTATAAACAAGAGCATTTGATATGAAAAAAGGAAATTCTTTACTGCTCAGCAAGCTATAGTTACAAAAAAAATATTCAAGGTTATCGGGAATACCTGACTTCCATCCACATGCAAATAAAGCTAGAATTTATAACTCTTGCTAAAACTTAAAGGAGTGTTACTTCCCTTCACTTACTTGTTGAAAAGGTGATTGTCCACTTTGATCTTTGAATATGCTTTGAAGTCATCCGGCATCAACATAACAGGGATTTGAACATGGCTCAGCTCATTGATCTACAGGGGAAAAAATGCAACTGTTTAGAGAAATTTGATCGCAAGAGTTGAAATAGGTGCCTCTTGACACCAATCATAGATTGTTGTTGCTGTTGTTGTGTTGGGACTATGGACTTGAAAACGGCGTTTCACTCATTTTTTAAAAAGCCCATAGAACGAGTCAGACTGGAATTATCCTAGCTTGTGCTCCAAGTCATTACACAACACCTGCTCTCAAAGCCCCCCCAAAACTGCCAGACTCTCCAGTAAAACGTTATCATGGTCTTTCGGTTACTGATATCATGGTCAGGCAATGCCAACAGCATGTACACTGTACCGGCTGCATCACCTACCTTTACTTCACCCACATCCTAGTCTTCTTTTGTGACCATTTTGGCATGAACCAACTACATAAGGCCAGCATGAGGTCTACCACACTCAGGGGCATGTACATCTTCTTTTGACTTCACTGCCACCTCATCCCAAAACTTGCTAATGAGGGCCATGAATATCCCTGTCTTCTCTGGGATTAATGTAGTCTGAACACATTTGTTAAGGTTGCCTCTGTTTAAAAAAAGGAGCAAAGAAATTAAATAGATAATAATTGAAAACCAATTCCTCAATCATAGGTCTGTTAACCTGGGGGGAAGTTTTATTTATTTCAGTGGGAACTGCCTCCCAATAAGTTTGCCAAGTAGCACAATTTAAACTAGAACTGCCTATATTATATTGCATTTCTAGTGTTAAAGAATTTTGAGACAGACTGGTTGAGCTGGTGGGGATGGCACAGAGACCTGCCAAAAAGGTTAGCGCGGTATATAAATTGAATGTATAAATAAATATTCATACACATTCCAACTAGCTCAGGGGGTGTGGGCTGTCGTTTTTGTCAGTTCAGTTTCTACAAGAGAAGGAACAGTGAACAGCACGGCCTGGATTACAATCTCGTACTAGCTCTTGGGACAGGAATGGTTCATTGGACTGGACTGCAGAAGTTCACTGAATGAAGGGCACAGAGCAAAAAATTGAAAGAGGAAAAGAGCAGAGGAGCAGGGAACCAGGGCAAGAAGTGGCTACTGAGAGATGAGGTAGTGCTCAGCAATGTTCCCTTTAAGCTGTGGAGTCTTGTGAGCAAAAATTCTACTTTGTGAGCTACTGGCATTAAAGTTGTGAGCAAGCAACTTTGCTATTGCATAAATTAGTTTGCTCTGGAGCCATCCTTCCTGAGCAAAGACAAAAATGAGTGAGCCGGAGGCTAAAAAACTGTGAGCTAGCTCACACTAACTCAGCTTAGAGGGAACACTGGTGCTCAGTGTCTGGAGGACATTATGCTATTTTGGGAGAGGAGAGGTAGGAGACAGGCATTCTAGTGGGAAAAAATGGGTAACGAAGTGGGGCAATACAGGCACACTTCAGAAAAGCAAGGCAGAGTTTCATTGAGAATTTGGGATAAAACTCCACATAAGGCCAAGGGACAGGAAGGGCTGAGCACTGGCTTTATTGCTCCGGTTGTTGCTTGGAATATTGCTACAGTTCTATTAACTCAGTTTTTTATTTTACTTGCTTTGTGATTTTGCTAACAACTGTAAGGAAAAGAAAGGTGGGATGTCAATGTTTTAAATTTAAAAAATAATAATATTAACTAGAAGGGACATCCAAGTGAGGCCTTGAAGCCAGAGACAGAATCACGGAGCTACCTGGGCACAGGGCAACATGTATACAGAGACCACATCCTGACATGGTTGCTGTAGGAGAGGAACTCAGAGGAGAGAAGAGATTGGATTTATACCCCACCCTTCACTCAGAGTCTCAGAGTGGCTTACAAACTCCTTTCCCTTCCCCTCCCCACAACAGACACCCTGTGAGGTAGGTGGGGCTGAGAGAGCTCTTTCCAGAATTGTCCTTGAGAGAACAGCTCTGACAGAACTATGGCTTGCTCAAGGTCATCCAGCAGCTGCAAGTGAAGCAGTGGGGAATCAAACCCGGTTCGCCCAGATTAGCGTCCGCTCACTTAACCACTACACCAAACTGGCTCTCTTTAAGAGAGACATCTTTAAGAGATACATATAGTTCCATTTGCACCATCTATAGTCCCTGAGCACTTCATGCCATTGAAGATTATCACATTTAAACTGTAATTTATTAAGAGTGAGAGGATTTGATTTATACAGCGACATGACCACCAATTCAACTGTTTTTTAAAAGCACAAGAAAACTATAGAATGTTTTTAATGTGCAAAAAGGTACATACAATGTAGCATATAGATACAAAGTTAAAATCATAGGCCACAGCATTTATCCTATAAAATCACCTATCTCTTGCCTGGCTGCTGTGCCCTACCACTCCATTTGCCTCCTCTCTTTCCTGGAGGTCTTCCTCATTATTCCAAATCTTCTTTCCTTCTACCCTCTAAATACAACTCCCACTGCATTACATCCTCAAGTCACACACTTACAAGAATGACAACAGAATTTGTTTCAAAACTGGAATTCCTGTTACATCAATTCTTTCCAATGGGCATTCCGTGGTATTAATTTCAACATATAACCTAATCCTTAGTAAGAATTTATATGGCACTGCTACAACCTCCAGTTTTGCCCACCACCAAGGCAATGGTGGGAGTAGTTGGAACTCCAGCTGTAGGCATGCCTGTGTTGCAATTTTATTGCCATTGTAGCATGAAAATTAAAAGTTTCTATGCTATGTGGTGCCTGAGTGGATCTCTAAGACATTTGTGTTTCTTTTCTTTATTTCTCACTGGGACTCAAGGCAGATTACACAGAGTGAGTCAATACAATCAACAAGATGGGACATTCAAGAAACTAGTTCAATAGAATTAGGGTTGCAGAGCCAACTGGAGGTCTAAAAACAGAACTGAAGCAAACCACAAGTATTAACATGACACATTAAATGATGCAAAATTACATAGTAGGGTCCTACTTGCAATAAGCCATACATAGCAGTATACGCCAGAGTCCCTAATCATTTATCCAAGTAACTTTGCAAATCATTTCATATAGTGTGACCCTGCATAGCTCTTTTGAATAATTCAGTTTTGCACAGTTTGCAGAAAGCCAGAGAGTGGGAGCTCCCTGGCCTTCTCAGGCAAACCATTCCATAAGGTGGGGGGGCAACAGAGAAGACACGTGTACAGGCAGTTGTTGGATTTTGCCTATTTGCAAGTTGGTGCCTGCAGAAAGCCCTGTTCAGAGGAGCAAAGATGTTGTACTGAAGCACAGGGGAAGAGGTGGTATTGCAGACACAAGGGTCGGCTGTGAAGGGCTTTGTATGTGACAGCCAATACCTTAAATTGAGCCTGGTAACTGATGGGCAGCAAGTGGACTGACTGCAGAATGGGAGTAATATGCATGCTCTGTCCACCTCCTGATAATCCCCAGGCCACAGCATTCTACAATGACTGGAGTACAATGAAGTTGATTTTGAGGGGAGACCAATATACACTGCATTACAGTTGTCAAGCCTCTATGTTACTGCGATGTGGATCCAGGCAGTCAAATCAGCCACATCAAGGTACGGGCCAACTTATGGGCTAGGTTGAGATGGAAGAAAGCCTTTTGTGCAGCTGCATTAAGTTGCTTCTCCAGCAATAACCTTGGGTCCAGTATAATCCCGAGGCTCTTCACTGAGTCAGCAAGGGTCAGCTGAATTCCATCAAGAGTGGGAAGCACAATGGGATTTGTGATCCAAGAACATCCATTTATTTTAAAAAAGGAAATGCATTCAATTTACCAACTTTCAGTTTTTAAGATATCCAGTCATTTTCTGTTTCATCCCACAATTACCATATTTTACATGAGAACTTGTCATCTTCCACAGAAATTGAAACATGTCAAGAAAAAAAAATTGAGCAAGTCCCTTCTCACTAAACTATTTTTACAAACCATTTCTTTCCTAGCTAAAAGAGCGGCATTAAATTCACAGGTTTTACAGTCATCATGGCAACAGAGAGTTTTCTTGCAACTCTTGCCTTCTCTCATTAGCATTCTACATCATACCTACCCTTCACACAGTTACTGTGTGACAACCAGCATTCTCAAGTGAATACTGTTATCCCCTCCTTTTTGAAATATTTTCATACCCAACCTTATTTGATCCACAGACTTGGTTTTCTAATGGCAAGCATGGCAGAATTCATGCGTTTTACCTCCTGGGCATCGTTAATAAAGTAAACACAACTTCAATTGTAGACTATGCCTTGCAGTCATGCCAACTTACCTCAAGAGGTATTTCATAAAACTATTGTGCTATCATAAGCAGTTACATCTTTCTAAGCCCACTGACTTTCATGGCCTTATAAGGGTTTAAGCCCTTGTTAGGGTTGCACAGTTATCTCCCATTAACTCCTTGGTAAACCTTTTATGAAGCTGAACTTCACTTACTCATCACAAAAATCTATTCTAACTAATGATGCATATACACAGAAATGGAAAAGTAGAGAAACTATGGGAACATATGCATAAGTATAATTAACCTTTAAATTTAATTTTGTAAGGTTTCAAAACAAAAGGGAAGCAACCAGCACAACCTGAAAGGGCTAGCAGAAGGCATCAACTCCTGGCTGCTCTTATAAATTAAAGTTAATTTTAAGTTTTTAAAAATGTGGTGCAGGAGGGCTGGGAGGAAGGGCAGGATTTGGAACACCCAGGGGAACTAGGTAAACCAGATGTAACTTTAGTGGTAACTACCACTATATACATGTACCATCTCCCATCACTTTACTCATTAACATGTGCATTCAAGTAACTTCCAACTTATGGCAACCCTATGAAGTAACATCCTCCAAAACATCCTATCATTAAAAGCCTTGCTCAGATCTTACAAACTGAAGACTGTGACTTCTTTTACTGAGTCAATCCATACCATGTTGGCTCTTCCACTTTCCCAACTGCCTTCAACATGGACACTGGAAAACTTACAACATAAGAACCGCACAATCAGATTTGCACTAAGTAAACAAGAGATAGACCTTGACACCAAAACTATGTTTCCTTTGTTAACAGGCTGAAAACATCCTTGCCTCTTGCAATTTTAAGCTATGATAAAATGGAGTCTTTTACCCTATCAGGTTTGCTTAAAGTATAGAAAGCTTGGGCATCTTGCCCAAGACATTCTCCATGCTAAATTCCACAGTAACAGAAAAATCATTTTTATATCCATGTTATAATTTAATGGTTTTAGACTGTGATACCTCTTAGTTATAAAGAAATTCTAGTGGCTCTCTAGTACTTCAAATAGCTTTAATCTTCACCTAGGGCTGAAACAACCAAGATTTTTGTTGCCCATATCTGGTGTTATTTCACCCTAGATGAAGAAGTTTAAAGTTATTTTCTATTTCTGAATTGGCTGATTTTTCATTTATTTGTGCTAACATAGCTGCAACATTTCTTGCTAATTGCTGAAGTGACATTTATGCCATGTACGCAACCCACATTTCTTCCAGAAAACAAATTAGATTACAGCTTTTACAGAAGGTAATAATACCACCAATGCTTGACTAGCTGTGGATAGATAGCTTGGAATTAAACACAATGGAGACCGGCACAGCAAGGCAAGCTTTGAGAAGCCTTTGTTCTCATACTGTTCAATCACAGCATCTTTAATTAAACAGACTGTTAACAGAAACTGAAAAAGAATCAATTGTTTTAAGACTTTTGGTGCCTAGCTTTAAGGTCTGGGAGGAGACAACCACTACTGAACCTTTCTGTGTACCAGGGCACAATGGAGCTTTTTGTCTCATCTGCTGATCAAAGATGCAGTTTCCTGAAAAACAATGATTAAGCTGTACCGTGTTGCTCCAAGCTAGGAAGATTCTTTTGGTAAGATATAAGATCCTCATAATGTCCACATGGATCGTGATATTAAATGCTTAAAAAAACCATCCTAACAGCTTTTCACAACCAAGCTCTTTAATACAAGATGAGGAGATAGGGAGAGGTGTCACTACTGTTCAGTAGTAGAGCAAGTGGCCTTCACACAGGAAGTTCTCCAGTCAATTCCTGCTATCCTTAACTAAAAAAATCTTGGGTAGTGGCACTGGGAAAGACTTTTGCCAAGAAAACAGCTTTTAGTTATTGGGATAGGTGGACCAACTGTTCAACTGTGTATAGCTTCCCATGTTCAAATACTACAGCAGAATTGGTGGGATGGAAAAGTATTCTTCAGAGTTTCTAGAGCTAGCATATTATTAGAGCTAGCTGTTGGATCTGCTGGTTTATACATTACACCAGGTCCTGTGAAACACCACTTTGGGTAGTACATGTGGCTACTATGGGACTAACAATGTAATCACACTTTAGTTAACCTGGTCAAGTTATGACAAGCAGGAAATGCCTGAGATGGAATAAATGAATCAATTTTCTGTCATTTTCTTTACATTAATTATTTTGTTTAATATTAAAAGAATCCAGAGTTGTCTCCAGCAGTTAGATGAAACACTTCATTCAACTTCAACCTTTTCAGAGCAGATCAGAGACAGAAGCTAAATTGAAAAGCCAAGAACTTTTTAAAAAAATCAACATAAATACAGATAAATGGTTCCTCATAGAGTTCACAAATCCAACTTCCTCCTGCCTGGACAGTTTAACTTCAAATGCTATCCAGGCACATCTTACTTCTACCACTGAACTCTACTACGTATGAGCAGGGAGGTTACAGCTAAAGTTTTATAGCAAACAAGATCAACCATCAGATTTGCCCAAGAGACACTACAGCCTGAGGCAGAACAACAAGTTGTGCACCTTCCACTTGTGGGAAACTCTTGATCTCTTGTTTGTATTTAAGGTACCACTAGAGAGTCATCATTATTTTGTCTGCAGCATGCTACGAGGGCTACCCCCTCTGGGGGGGGGAATCAAAAAGTTATCGATGCATAATCAGGATTCTACTCAACACACTCCCTGTAAGCACTTTGCTATGACCAAATATAATAATAATGACGTAACCAACAGTCTTTTTTAAATAAATAAATAAGAGCTAAAATAAACAGCTAGTTTGGTTTAGCAAACTCATGCTTATGCTCTTTTTGCCCCTCAAGTTCAAGAGCATATACAGGAGTTCTATGAATTGGTCTAGTACTCCTTGGTGATCAAACGTGCCATTAAGTCACAGCTGATTTATGGCAACCACTGGTGGGGTTTTCAAGGCAAGAGATCTTCAGAGGTGGTTTGCCATTGCCTGCCTCCATGTCACAACCTTGTTATTCCTTGAAGATCTCCCATCTAAATACTTGCCAGAATCAACCCTGCTTAGCTTCTGAGACCAGACGAGATCAGGCTAGCCTGGGCTATCCAGGTCAGGGGTCCTTATTTACTTTAAGAAGAACAAGGACACACTGGAACTTGCTTCTGAACAGTTAGTCTTGAGGTGGTATTCTAGTTGATTTGATGTTTCTGCCACTTTTCTCATAGAGATGGGAACCTTTCAGGAAAGGATGTGTTTTGGATGCTTTTGTGAAAGGACAGAAACAAGGTATATTCACATTTATGAATGTAGTTCTTCACATGCACAGATGGGGGGAACTGAAGACTACATTCTGGAATATTGTGGGACACCATGTTCTGCTATTCAGATCACATTTCCACAGACTGCACAAGAAAGATCTCCACTCCAGGTAACCTGCGCTTTTAAACCTTACAGGGAGAGAGGGCCAGGCTCAGTTCAGTTCTGGGTTCAGTTTGATGGCTACCCTGAACCTTGAACTGAACCAGGATATTTAGGTTTCTGCCCCTCTCTAGTATAAATGCCTGTTCCACCCCCAAGTCCAACCAGGCAGTATGCAAATCCCGATCAGGCCTAAGCAATCTTTGGCTCTCTCCCTGTCTCCAGCTTCTATAGGAGCCACAACACCATTCACAGGTAGTTGTGAATAAGCAATCTTTGGCTCTCTCCCTGTCTCCACAACACCATTCACAGCTTCCCCACTACTAGCCTTACTGGGATCCCCCCCCCCAACATATTCACTTAGCTACAGCTCAAATTCAGCAAGTTATATCTATTTACTCCCTGTACAAGTCTGTGCAGAAATCTAAGATTAAAACAGCAGAGGTGAGACCATTTGTGACCAAGCCTGATTCAGCAGCTAAGCAAGCTCTGCAAGTACAGGCATTCTCATCACTATACAGGCCAGCAGGAAAGGTCAGCAGCATAGGGGACTCATGGTGTAGAACAGGCAGGCCACAGAGCTTAGCTTGGGCAGCTGCCAACACCAAGAAAATGGAAAACACTGGGCCTTCCTAGCCTTTGCTTTGAATATTTAAGCTAGCCATAACCAAGAACTCGTGAAACCAAGTGCAGTAACTTGGGCCCGCTCAGCCAAAGGAGTATATCAGGAGCGTGTGTTTGCTGTGTGGTCCAATACATGCTGCTCACAAACTTTAAAAATGCTGCTACCACATCTTCCCTCACTCACTTCCTTCCACAGGCTTGTTCAGGCAGATAGTAGCAACAGCCTCCAGAACATGGACTTGCATGAGAGAAGAAAAAGATGGGTTCTCGCCTCTTCATTCCCAGTGCTCTACAGGTTGTGGAGGGTCTCTCGTACATTTTTGACTCTAAATTTGTTGTCCTACCAGTAAGAGTGAACACAAGGAAGCAATATGGAGAGTCCAGGCATGAAGTGGTTCCTTGTTTGACACAAACTGATAAGGAATGGAATAATGAACAGTCTGACAAGAAATGGAAGTTTGCACATCACTGCAACCCCAAATAAAACTTCACGTTTACACAAAGGACAGCAGAGAGATGTCCCTTCCCCAACAATAATGATGACACACCAATGAGTTATATCAGCTCTCGTGGTCCTTACTTACATGCCTAGGGTAACGTCAACTGCCACTTTGGGGTCAGGAAGGAACTTTCCTCCAGGACAAATTGTGCAGGGATCCTGGAGGGATTTTTTTGCCTTTCTCTGTGCATAGAGAGGCGTCATTGGGAGAGTGGAGGGGGAGGTAGTTGTGAATTTCCTATGTTGTACAGAAGGTTGGACTAGATGACCCCTGAAGTCCCTTCCAGCTCTATGTTTCTATACACCCCCAGCTATGGCAAATCTTGAGGCAACAAATGTAGTACCAGAAAAACTTTGTAAGTTCAAAAATGCTTCCAGCCTTACAGCTTCCATAAAGGACTAAGCCATCCTACCCTGAACAGATAAACTGAAA